ACAGCCTCACTAGGGAACGGGAAGTAGCCTGTGAGGGTGATGTGTGGTACTGCACAGGCCTGGAGAGGCAGGGGGGGCCTTGGTGGCACTGAGGCTGTGTCCTGAGGGCTCTAGAACCCTGGGAGCAGGGGACAGATATGGCCAGACATAGAAAGATTCCCCTGGCTGCTGAGGGGAAGGTGGACCACAGGAGGCGGCCAGGGTGGGGCAGCTGGGGTGGGGACAGAGATGCTCAGAAGGCTGAAAAGATGGACACGGGACGGGAGAGGAAGGAGGGTCGGAGACATCCAGGGTGAGGCCCGTGGATCTGGCCTGAGGACGAGGGAACAGTGGGGTTCCCTGGGACCCTAGAGAAGGAAGGGCACAGGGCACCAGGGCTGAAGGCAGCTGGAGAGCAAGTGGGAGAGCTTGGGTTCATCCTGAGGGTATGGGGGAGCACGAAGGAGCTGGGGAGACCACTTAGGCTGCCAGACTGGGGAAGGATCTAAGGTGACAGGACTGAGGCCTACAGGGCCATGAAAACTGGGTAATGCTGGTGGCCTGGTCTCAAGGAGCAGCGGCTGGAGAGGTGGATGGATGACCGTACTGGAAGGAAGACGGTCTGGCTCACACAAGTGGCAACCGAAATACCGCTGCAAGGAAAGCCAACGCGTCTGGCTCACACAAGTGGCAGAGCTGTCAAGAAGGTGGCAACCGAAATACCGCTGCAAGGAAAGCCAACGCGAGTCCTGCCCAGGCCGGCCTGGCCCTAAATCCTAACAGACTCAGCCAGTCCTCCTGCAGGTCCTTTGATGACTTGCAGGGAGCCAGAAACCCCATAAAATCGCAAAAAACCTGTGGGGCGTGTGCATTTACTGGGAAAAGAGGATCCCTAGCTGTCATCGGATCCTTAATTTGAAAAGAGTGAAGCGACTGACCTTTCTGGGGATGGCTTGTATCTTGCGTAGGTGGCGGAGCTGGGGGTGGAGAAGCTCCCGGAAGGCTGTCGGTAGGGAGGGACTTTGTCGGCCCCTGCTGGTGATGCTGCGTAAGGGGTTTCTGGGAAGCTGACAGGCCTGGAACAGAGACAGGGAGGAAGGAGGTGGGGTGAGTGAGGATGACACCCCTGTCCTCACAGAGGAGGGGCAGACACTGTCCCTCAGACCCAACCACATCCCATCTGCTTTATCTGCTGTCCCCTCCCGTGGGGATGGAGAGAGGGCTGCTGAGCAAAGGGCGGCAGGAAGCGGGGATGCCCCTGGTTCTTCCTGGCCCATGGGGCCCAGCCCACCTGTCAGTGTCCGTGGCCTGACAGGGGCGGCCAAAAGCTGACCACTGTTCTTGCCCACCCTCATACGTTAGATTCCTTCATTTCTTGGAAATTTTCTTTATCTTTTAACATTAACATATTTAAGTGAATTTAAGGTACATGTCATTGTAATAAACTCTTTGCAGCTGCTGCCCGTAACCGAAGAATCAGAATGGGGGTGCTACCTACACACCTGTGGGCTTCTCCTCCCACCCCTCCGATGCCCCTAAGGAGGCATCGCATCTCATATCTTGTGCGTATCAGTCCCTTAACCTTTTAAAAAAATATAGAGAGTTTTAACCACATATGGCACGGAGACTTCCAACCTCAGACACGGAGCTCCCAGCACTGGGCTCACGTGAGGGGCTCATGATGAAAGCTGAAGGGAGGCGGGGATGGAGGGAGACACAGGACAAGGACAGGAGAAAGACTGAGGAGAGGAGACTGGAACAAAGAGGAGAAAGAAAAGCACGGGGGGAGGTGGGGCCAGGTGCGGTGGCCGTCGGCAGGCCCTCCCTTACCTCTTGTTGTGCAGGGGCTGGGACTCCCGGAAGGGGACCATGGGGGTCTGCTTCGGCGGCCGGCTCAGGGACTGGGCGTGGCCCGGGGTGGCCGGAGCGGCCCACTTGGAGGCTGGCAGAGAGTTGTGGGATGCGGGCCCGCTCCACTGCCAGGGCGCGTTGCTGCGGTAGGGGGGCCGGACCCCAGGGGCCAAGCTCTCCGGCTCAGGCTTGGGCTCCGCGGTGTCCACGCCATAGGTCTCCGGCCACCCCCTGCGAAGAGAAGCTTGGTTATTATTCAGAAAGGCTCTGGCCCACCAGCAGCCAGCCATGCCTGCTGCCTGGGAGAGACCTGCTGCCTTGTGACACTGGGCAGCTTTCCCTGGCCAGATCTGAACCATGATGGCCTACTTTAAAGGCTGAGTAGATCCCCTTTAAATTGGTCTGAAACTTACCAGCTCTGAGTCCTCAACCAGGACAGGGCCCAACACAGGGGTTCCGACTGCCTGGCCTGCTCTATCGCATCCCCTCTCCCCTCCTTTCCCCTCCCCCTGACCCAGCCTCAAGTCAGCCCATCCTCCTTCGAGTAGCTCAGCCCCCTTTAGCGGAACTCGGGGTCAGGAAGGCCGATGCCCTTAGGATCTGCCTTGTTCCAAAGACGCTCAAAAGCAGCTAGAAGAAGAGCAGGTGACCTACTTTGCAGGGTGGTTAAAAAAAAAAAAAGCCATGAAATGCAGAACCTTGAAATAGATGCAGAACGGCCCGTGACTTCCCCCCGACCAGGCTGGCGCACACACTGCAGCGTTCCTGGCTCCCGGCAGGGAGATCCGCGGGCTGGGCTGGCATTCCCCACCGCGGCTTTGGTGCAGCAGGGAGGGGGCTCTGATTCCGAAGAGGGGGCTGTGCTCACAAAAGCCACCTCCCAGCAGCTGCGGGAGCTCTGCTCAGAGGAGCTCTCAGCCTGGAAGCTCTCATGCCCCCAACGAGCCAATCCTCTTCTGAGTCCCCTAGAGCCCAGGGAACTTTCACGGCCACTTGGCTAAAGGTCTGGTGGACTTGGTGGCCGGGAGGCTGTGGGCTCAGGACATGGCTGCTAAGGAGTCATTAAAAGGACCCGAGGATGTGCTCTGGCACCTGGGCCTGACACACCGTGCCCTTCAGCAGCAGGAGGGTCAGAGCTGACATCCAGCAGCTCCTTCTGGCAGTCTCTCAGGATTGGTAGGTGCTGATGCCTCACCAGCTACCAAGCGAGGAATGACAAGAACACATATCTAACAGAGCCTGTAGATATGCCAGGCCAGGCGGAGGTGGAGGAGGGCACCATCATGGCCCCAAGCAGGCACACCTGCTGCTCCTGCCTGCCCAGCTTCCACACCCCTGCTCCTGAGAATAGGTCTGTGTGTTCTGGGTGGGGCTGACCCCATTAATTGGTTCCAGGGATGAGCATGTGACCCAGGCCTGGCCAATCAGAAACTCCTCTTCCCCTGGACATGACTGGCAGAGGATTGCCATGTGGCCTAAAGTGGGGCCAATCAGACACAGTAAACATCAACTCTGGAACTGCTTCTGGAATTACTGGGGGAAAGATCTATTTCACTAGGGCTGCTGAGCTAGGGAGACCTAACCTGGAGCTGTGAGTAGGGGTAGGCCATCTTTGTCCCCACAAAGTAGGAAGCAGCCTGAGAATGACAGCAACGCAGGAGAAACAGGTGACAGATTCCTGATGAGGGTGTCTGAGCCCCACACAGAGCCATGCGTAAATTTTGCCCTATCTCCCAGTCTTGTCAGGTATGGAAGCCAGCCAAGTCCCTCTTTGGCTTCACCGTATTTGAGTTGGTTCTGTTGCTGGTAACCAGAGTCCTGATTAGTCCATTACACTTCAGAGAAAAGTAAAATGAGGCGCAGAGAAGTTAAACAATCTGCCCAAGGTCACACAGGCAGTAACAGGTGGAAGCTGGATTTAAATACAGAAAGTTGACATCAGAGCCCACGAGATTAACCACCAGGCACACTGGCAGTAATCTGGGAGCCAGTGAGTAGATTTTTTGGGTCCCTGAGTTCCCCTTCCCCTAGTTACTAAAAGCTTCACTTCTGGCCACGAGCCCCTAGGCATGACCTCCAAGAGGGAAGCCTTATCCAGTCATCTTGAAGGCAGCACACAGTGGTGGAGAGCCAGGGCCCTCAGATCCCAGCTCTGCCACTTAGGACCTCCACGGCCTCGGGGGAGGGATTTCCCTTCAAGAACCTCAGTTTCCAAATCTGTAAGATGGGGTGGTTGTGAGCATTCTATAGGCATTAGCAGAAAATATTTAATAAATAGGCAGTTCCTTTTTTTCCCCCCTAGCAGTTTCTCACTGGCCAGCCTTTTCCAGCCAATTCTGTGGATGGTCTCTCTGCTCCTCCCACATGCCCAGAACCAGAGGTCTCCCTTCCACTTTCCAAAGTCCAACTACACCCACCTCGGGACTCAGGAGCAAATTCCTTCCCAGCCATCTGAGAACCTTCAGCATCTCAATCACCCTGAGAACTTAGCGAAGTTCATTCAGCTTGTCTAAAGCAGAATCCTCCTTGAGGTGGGGCCCAGGAGTCTGCATTTTACTGAGTTGCTAGGGATACGAGTTTCAGAAGTCCACTTCTTGAATTAAGTTTCTGAATCTGTTTTCAAGATTAAGTGGTATAAAAAGGCATTCATGTCCCCTACTCCATCCCCCGGTTTTACCCACCCGAAGCAACCATAGCTTCCAGTTTCTTACACATTCTTTCAGAAATATCCTATGCAGATAAGCAAATATTTAAAATGAAAATAAAAACCACACACTAACACCGGATACCATCTTGCTTCCTTCCCCCACCCACAACTGTCAGTATTCCCTGCCAGACCCTCCTGGCACAAACAGATTCACCTCACTTTCTTGAAACAATCACTCACTACTCTATCGCATGAAGGACCTGGGATTTACTCAGCCAGTCCCCTACGGCTGGATACTTAGGTTGCTTCCGGTCTTTTGCTCAACCAACAACTCTGTGCTAAATAGTCCATTCCAACCTCTCGGCCACACGCGGGAAACATCTGAGGGAAGATGTCCCTAGGCTCACACACCATTTTTTCTCATCGCCTCCTTGGCCTTGACTCCTGACAGCCGAGTTTCTGGGGGCCGTGGCGACTTCTTCCTTAATTCTCCTACTCACTTGCTTGTACGGTTTCAATTTCCCTTCTCAGGCAGGAGTTTCCAACAGTCCCCTGACCAGAGGTCTGGAGTCCAACTAAAGGGGACAAAAGCATCCCAGATCACCTTCCCCATCAGGCAGCGACGGAGACAGAGAGATGAGAGCATCGCTCCTGAACCTGCGCAAGTACCCAAGGTCAAGATGACACATCGCATCAGGGGCTCTGGCTACCAGGCCCCGCCCAGCTATGGCCCAGCAGTGCAGGGCTCACTCAAGAACCCCAGTCTTGTGGACTATGGGTGCAAAGATGACCCCCTGTCATGTACTCAGTGTCCGAAGAGCACAGGGTCTGGACACACGCCATGCAGAGCCCGGCTGGTGGCAGGAAGCTCACCTCTGCCCATCCCTGGTGTTTCCCCTCAGAGCTCATTGTGACATTCGAGCCAGGTCAGGGTTGCAGCAAGAGGCTGGAAGGACCCCATAGTTGGGGTTATCAGCTCTTCAAATGAGGCCAGCCAGACACCCCTGCATTTAAAGAATAACGAAACCCACGCAAGTCCCAACCCACATCCAACCCTGTGAACAGGATGACGGTTTTATTCCTAAATAGGGCAGGGAGCAGAACTCGTCTGTCTGGTCACACCCTCCCTGGCTTGTTTCCCCAAAGCCACAGAACGGAGTCTGCAGACTTTTACCTTGGCTTCAGCTGGTCCCTACCTGCAGGCCTGGGACACCTTCACAGCCTCTCTCACTCCCTGAGTTTTAAAGAGTCATCCAATGGGAGGGCTGGCTTTTCACGTGCACTCGTGTGGGTGTGAGCACGTGTGTAGAGAGAGGAAAAGGGGTCTGCAGGGAGCTTGCCTGTGGGCTTACCTCAGCCTGACCTGCCCTTGCAGAGCCCGGAGTGGGTGCGGCTAGGCCTTGGCTCTGTGCAGAGGTGAAGGAGGCCCCAGAAGAGGGCTGGGAGGAGATGGCTGGGGCCTGAGTGGAGTCCTGAGGCTGAAGGACCAGGGTGTGGGCGAAGGTAGCCAAGCCCTTGGTTGCCAGGTTTAGGCCTGCTCAGAACCACACTCCACCAAGTTCAGGGCAAGCAGGACTCAGGAAGAGGGGCGGGGAAGAGCAACCAGAAGTCGCATGCCCAGAGCTCTCAACATCTTTTAGAGGCAGCAGAGCATATGGAGCTGGGAAACCTGGACTGAGTTTGCTCTGCCACCAACTAGCTGTACAACTCTGCACAAGTGACTGGTCTGCTTGCGCCTCGGTTTTCTCATCTGTAAAGTAGAGACCACATCAGCCCTGTGAGGTCACTTGTATAAGCACCCCGTGTCATCTCATCTCATGCCTTCCTCTTGGCTCACTCTGCTCCAACCAGAGGACCTTCTTTCGCATATGTCAACAATCTGAGGGCTCTGTCCCCACCTTTGTGACAGCTACGCCCTCCCTGCAAGGCCCTTCTTCTGGCTCCTTCTCACCTTCCGGTCTCCCCAACCATCCTGTCCAAGGTTGGGTCATGCTCTTTATTTCTCCGCATCCTGTATCTTGCGGCCAGTGTCTCCAGAGCACCTCCTACATGCCAGGTAGTGGTTCTACAAGTCTTACCTCCTCCAACCTCGCAACCACCCTTTGGGGGAAGGACCTAATATGGTCTGCAGTTTACAAATGAGAAACTGAGGCACACGGTTAGGGGTGAAGCCATCTGCCCAGGGTCATGGTTAGTAAAGGGGAGGAGCTTGGATGCAAACTTAGGCAGTCTCACTGCAGAGCCTGTCTTCCCTCTACACCCGGCTGCCTCCCCCTTCTGCTGTATGAAGGCATCTTATCTGCTTACTTGTTTCTTGTCTGTCTCCCCAATTCACTCATCAGCTCTACGAGGGACAAGGCCTTGGCTGTCCTCTGTGCGCCTGTGTTTCCAGAGCCTGGAATGTGGTGACTCTCCCTTTCTCTGTCTTGCCCCTGCAGACAGGGGTCACCTCTGGAGGTAGCTAGGGTACCAAATCATTACTCTAAAAATGCACTTATCCTGCCTTCCTTGTATAAATTGTACCTTAGAATAACCACACAGTTACTGAAGACAATTTCTTTTCAGAAGAATTAATTTGTACAGCCAATAAATAAAGAAGGAATGATGGCACTGAGCGCATCATGACGATAATGAAGTAAAGGACTGGGCGACGATCATGATGGCTGCTGAGAGCTGAGGGGAAATGTACGATGACAGGTCAGGCTGTCACACTCTGAACCCTCTGGTCGCCCTTGGTATCGCTCACAGAGGGACACCAGACACCTGGGGCCTCCTAAAGGATGCACACCTGGGAAGTGTTACCAAAGGATGTTAATCAGAATCTGGTCAAACTTCTGCATCGAACTCCAGTTTATGGAAAATACACACACTACGGGAACAGGTTAAAGGCTACCAGGGGGATGCAAGCAGCTAAGTTCAGGAAATGGGAAACTCTAAGCAGCGGTCCCCAGCCTTTTTGAAACCAGGGACCGGTGCTCCTATGAGAATCTAACACCTGATGATCTGAGGCGGAGCTGAGGCGGTGATGCTGGCGCTGGGGAGCGGCTGCAAATACAGATGAAGCTTCACCTGCTCACCTGCTGCTCACCTCCTGCTGTGTGGCCAGGTTCTGGTACCGGTCCACAGCCCAGGGGTTGGGGAGCCCTGCTCTAAAGGACAAATGGCCTTGTTTCTTCCCCAAATAAATTGCAAGAAGAAACAAACAAAATAATGTGAAGGGGAACTTAGGGATTAAGAGCCTGAAAAGATACATCAACTGAACGCAATAAGAGGAGCCTGATTAACAAAACAACTGTTTTTTAAAACATCTCTCTCTTATATGACAGAAAGTTAAAGACAGACTGGGTAACTGATATTGACCTACCGTTAAAAAATTTTTAAGTGTAGTAATAACCTTTTAAAGGTCCTCATTGGACAGAGATACAGTCCAAGGACTGCGACTACTTCAAATAGTCCTAGGTAGGGCGGTATGGAGATTTAAAACAACAAAAAACAGGCCATGTTAAATGCTGAAATAGCGGGCTCAGTATACTTTTAATGTGTTTGAAATGTTCCATTAAAATCCAAGCTTGTCACTGTGTCCAGAAAGCCCCACCCCAGGATGACCCCCCTGCCCCGGTCTCCTCCCTTTCGCCCACCTCTCACCCCTGCTCACTCTGCCCAGCCACAGTGTCTTCCTGTGCTGCAGGAACGTGCCGCACACACTTGTACTTCACAGATTCTGCCCTGGCTAGTCCCCATCTAAGACCTGCTGGCCCAGAAAACCAGATGGCCACCTCCACCCAGGAGCCTTCCCTGACCACCCTGTATGCAGCTCTCCAGCCCCGTTGCAGACCCTTTATTTATCCCACTTTCTCTCCTGAGATCTCACCACTGCCTGATCCTGTATTATCTTTTAATAATAGTTTGTCCTTCTTTCTAGGACACGGACTCCAAGTCAGCAGGCACTGTATTTTGTTCACTGCTCTATCCTGAGCACCTGGAACGAGCTTACACACAGTAGGGTCTCAATATATGTGTGGGACAAATGAACGAAGCGTAGCATGTCCTGGGGGAAGTTACTTTCATCGCTGTGTCTGTCATCTAGAAGACGGCACTGATGGGGGCGCCCATCTCACAGGGCTGCGGTGGAGATGAAATGGGGAGCTCAAACCATCGCTGGCATGCAGCAAGCGTTTGACAGATGTGCACTCCCACCCTGTCACGACTGAGAAAGGGCCTCCAGGGACAGCCCTGGGGAGACCTTGTGCCAGCACTCAGGGAGCCGCCAACCACCCCCCACTGCCTTGCAGGGCAGCTGTCCCTACCTGCGGGGAGTGCCGTCGTCGAAGGGAGGGATGATGACCACCTTGACGGTGACGGACGTGCGCAGCAAGTCGATCATCTGGTCGTGGGTCAGCGTGACCACAGCTACCTTGCAGATCTCCACCAGCCGGCTGCCTTGCCGGAGGCCGGCCTGCCAGGCAAACCCATAGTCCTCCACCTCGGCCACCGTCCCGTCGTACTTCACGTGGAAGCCCAGCTGCCCGAGCCCGTTCCGCCGCAGGGTCATGTCCACCGTCTCCCAGCCATTGGTCATTACCTGCAGGCGACAGGAGGGATCTAGCCTCAAGAGCTGTTCGGGGTCAGCTCTTGCGGAAGACTCCTGGTCAGATCCCCAACTTTGAGGCCAAAGACCCAGGTGATGCAGGAGCATGAACGCACGCAGTGGCGGCCCAGGTCCTGACTTCTGGAGAGGAAACATAGATGTGCGCCTAGCCAAAGACCTTGCTGCTCCCCATCGACCTTCCCAGGTGATGCAGGAGCATGAACGCACGCAGTCGCGGCCCAGCTCCTGACTTCTGGAGAGGAAACATAGATGTGCGCCTGCGCGGCTAACGGCCTCACGGCGCGGCCGCCATCACCAGGCAAGCCGTGTTCCCCGAGCACCCTGCCTCCTTCCCTCCCCGGCACGGCGCGATGGCACTAATAGGCTCCCTTGTGGTCGGTGGGCTCTGGGACTTTTTGCCCAGTGAGTTGTGAATAAAACTGGCGTGTCATCTGGCTGGGGCATTTAATTGCCAGTGCGAGACCTTCTGTTGGCCTTTCCCCTCTGCTAAAGCCAGACAGTGGCTGTTTCATCACCTGGGGTCCTGGAGTCAGAACAATGTGGAGCAGAGACCCCAGCTGAACCTAAGATGGACATGTGGCACGACCTAGAGATAAACCTTTGTTGTTTTAAGCCATGAATATTGCATCCTGGCTGATACAATGATTCTAACAAAAGTCAGTCCGAAAACCAACAAATCAGCAATCCTGGAATCTTGTCTACGTTGGGGATGGCGAGAATCATGCCGTATTCTTTACTTCATATTATTCTTAGAAGCACAAATCCCTTTGCAAAATCTCCTCCTCAGACTGTGCCCCCATGTGAAGCTGACCAGACCACATGGGCCTTGCCTCCAAATTACTCCCTGCTTCATTTGCGTGAGATTTTCACCATGATAATGCACTATCATAGACATAAAGATCCACCGATCAGAACTCCCAGTCCTTCCCCAGAACCCCCAGCACATCCACAGGGATTCTGTCCTCTTCTTAGGATAAAAAAAAGAACTTAACAAGCTATGGTCATTAAGCAAGTTCCATCAAGACCTGTCTACCCTTTCCTAAAACTGTATTAAGGAAAGAAAATGCATGATCATTCAAATTACCTATAAGAAGTCATTCCCTGGCTAGAATTTACACTATTTGATGTACCTATTAGAGTGGTGGCTTTCACATTTTTCTGACTACTCACAGTAAGAAAGAATTTCGTCACAAGTCACACCGTGCATTCACGTATACATTCACTCTTCCCTACTCATAAACATCTTCCTTGCAATCTAAATCGAATACATTTGTGACTACGGGTAGCAAGAAATGAGCGCCTGGATGGGAAAGGACTTACCTGAAAATGTAACCACATCTGTTTGGTCCCTGATTTGGACAGTGAGGATCTGGGAAGCGGTGGGGGAGGGGGAGGCAGCAGAGATCCTTACTCACCGGGATGGACTCTTGACACTTTCTATTCTTTCCTACCTTATCTTTGAAAATTGCTGATTGAGATACCATAATTGATTTTACAACCCAACCTGTTGACACGACAATAAGAAATTATTAATTCTTTATGTATGATAATGACTAAACCGTTGTTCTTTAAGAGTCTGTGTGTTTTAGAAATAGGTCCTGAAATGTTTACAGGTGAAATGACAAGATGTCCAGGATTTGCCTCTAAATGGTCAGTGGGAAGGTAAAGGAGGGAAGGGAGACACAGTGGCCCCGGGTTGGTAACTGTGGAAGCTGGTGACGGGGCTAGGAGTTCATTATGTGAGTCCCTCTCCTTTTGTGGACAGCTGAGATTTTCCATAAATCAAAGAGGTTTAAAAATTGGTTCAAAAGGAAAGTCTGTTCAGTGCCCTGAAAGAGAAAGTATGACTAGATTCATCCTGGCCCATTACTTTCCCTTTGGGGACTGAAGTTCTTCTTCCCTTTGAAGCAGTCACCCTTGTATGCAAAGAATTTGGCTGTGGGTTATAGAGAGAAGGCTGCATGTCTGAGCCTGGAACTAGTCAGGCCAGGCAGTCCTGGGAGCCCGGGGGGCTCAGCCTTCCACGGAGGCCAGGAGATCTCCCTCAACACCGCGGCAGGAGCGCTGCGGCCTTCGGTCTCCATTCTCCCCTCTTCCTTGTGGTAATAAGACCCCACCCCCACTGCTAGTCAGAGTTTTGATGTGCACAGGGCCACCTTGTTGGGGACCACACTGCTCAGCTTTCTTCACAGCTGGTGTGGACATGACTTGGTTTTGGCCAACAGGATATGAGTTGAAGTGATGGAATTTCTACTTCATGTTCTTAAAAACAGGCCCAGGCCCAGACTCACAAGCTAGGGTGCTTGGTGGGGATGTAAATGACATGTAGGCTGGTGGAACCATGGCCAAAGAGTGCATGTGTGTCCCATCTAAAGGGGGCGCTTCTGATTATTAGACCTGAAACAATACATAACAGATGAACGTAGAAACTAAACTCATAGACCTTGGACTTAAAAGGATTTTATGGATTTGACCTCAAAGGCAGGGGAAGTAAAAGCAAAAATAAATGAATGGGACTACAAACTAAAAAGCTTCCATCATCAAGGCAAAGAGACAACCATCTGAATGGGAAAATATGTTTGCAAGCAACACCTCTGATAAGGGCCTAATATCTGAAATATACAAAGAACTCATATGACTCAATAACTTCAACAACAAAAACAAACGATCCAGTCAAAAAATGGGCAGAGGACCTGAACAGACACTTCTCCCAAGAAGACTTATAAATGGTCAACGAACATATGAAAAGATACTCAACATCGACAGCTACTAGGGAAATGCAAATCAAAACCACAATGGGAGAGGATGTGTAGAAATAGAAACCCTCATATACTGCTGGTGGTTCTGCAATTTGGTACAGCGACTATTGAAAACAGTATGGAGGTTCCTCAAAAAATTAAGAATAGAATTACCATATGATCCAGCAATCCCTCTACTAGGTATTTACCCAAAAGACTTGGAAACATTTACCCGAAAAGATATATGCACACCAATGTTCACAGCAGCATTATTCAAGGTGGCCAGGACATGGAAGCAACTGAAGTGTCCTACGATAAATGATTGACTAAAGAAGCTGTGGTACATATATACAATATTACTCAGCCATAAGAAAAATGAAATACTGCCATTTTCAACAACATGGATGCATCTTGAGATAATCATGCTAAGTGAAATAAGCCAGACAGAAAAAGCTGAAAAACACTTATCACATATATGTAGGATATAAATCTAAAAGCAACAAACATACATGACCAACAAAGAGAGACTCATGGACATGGACAACAGACTAGTGGGTACCAGGGGGGAGGGGGGAAGGGGGAGGTAAACCGGGTAAAGGGATCAAATACGTGGTGACAGAAAGAAATCTAACTATGGGCGGTGAACACACAATGCAAAATATATGTGACTTGTACACTTGAAACTTATTGGATTTTGTTCATCAATGTTACAATGAAAAAATAAAAATAAAGGGGGCACTTATCATCCGCTTCAGTTGATCACTGCCCTGCCCAAACGAAAACCCACTATAGCCAGATTCCTCCAGTTTTTCAAGAAAAGCCAAAAGCTAGATTCATATGAAATCCTCTGAAGGTTAAGCTTCTGCACCTAAGTGACTACGTCCGGGGCCGCACCCACCCTGCGAGTTTGAGACCGACACCCACTACAGGTTCCCCTGGCATCCTTGACACTCCCCCTTTCAACCTCCTGGCTCTTGTAATTCCTGTTCAATATCTGTCACCGATGGGAGCCCCAGGAAGACAGGCCTGGGCCCACCATGGTCGCTGCTGTGACCCAGGCACATGATAAGAACTGCTGACTTAACAAACGACAATGTCTGAATCCTGGCCCTGCTGGGGAGGGTGTGAACTCCTCACCCAGAAGAGGGACAAAGAAGAGATGGCTGTCGTGCGTCCTTTAGGACAGACCGGCCCTTTGCAGGAGATGGCTTACGTCATCACTTCTGGGCGCCTGGCTGCCCAGTGGGCTCTGGGTGCTGAGACCGTGAGAGGGGGCTACAGAAACATGCGAAAGCACCACACCAACAGCAGGCGCGGAGGACACGGGGAACACGTAATCCAGCGCAGTGTCTGCACGGTCGCTGCTGGGCGTTGAGGGAGGGACACCCTCACGTTCAAGAACCCAGGTACGTAGCTCACTGTGCGTCCCGGGCACGTCGCTTTACCCTTCTGGGCCTCAGTTTCCTCATCTGAGAAGTGGGGACAACGGTATCTCTCTCACTGGGTTTTTTGAGGAAGAAATGCAAAGCCGTGCAAGGTGCTGAGCAGGGTCTAACACAGTGAATGTTCACTTTTGCTGTTTCCCCAGGGCGGCCTGCATTCAGGACAAGTCCACTGAGTTCCACTGCATACGAGAGGCTAGCCTAGGTGCTGTGGACACAGCAGTGAACAATTCACAACGTCAACACAATTCAGGTGGTGGTAAGTGTTTTGGAGAAAATTTGAGCAGGGACGGTGGGTGGTATATGCTCAGGGTCAAGCTGCAATTTTAGATAATGGGGTCTCACTGACAAGAGGGGGAGGGAGGGAGCCATGTGGGGACCAGGGAGTGTTCCAGAGAGAGGGTGCAGGCAGTGCACACGCCCCGAGGCTGGTTACCTGCCTAGCACACCTGGGAAACAGCAAAGATCTGTGCGCCTGGAGCAGTGAGGTCAACAGGAAGCCAGGTCATGCAGGGCCACACGGGCCTCCGTAAGGACTTCGGCTTTTACCTAGAGTGGGCTGAGGGTTTTGAGCAGAGCAGTGATGTGATCAGGTCCCTTGACCACCACGCTGAGAACAGATCATAGGGAAGAAAGGATGGAGGCAAGGAAGACTGGCCAGGAGGCTTCTGGGTAGTCAGGGGCCGGGGGCAGGGTGGGGGGGAGCTGGAGCCGGCCTAATGGAGGTGAAGCTGACAGATCGGATGTGGGTGTGAGAGAAAGAGAGGAGAGAGGCTGATGCCGAGGCTTCTGACCTCAGCAAATGGAGTGACGGATTTGTCCTTTACTGAGACAGAAAATCTCCGGGAGGCAGGGGGAGGGAAACTGAGTTTAATCTTGGACATGTTAAGTTCCAGGGGTTTAAAGACACCCGAGTGGAGGTGCTGAGTGAGCAGTCAGCTACCAGTCTCGAGTTTGGGCACAAAGAGGTTTTGGAGTCAGAAGAACTTGGATTCAGACCCCCGTCTGCCACCTCGTGGCTGTATAACCTTATGTGAGTATCTATGCCTCTCTGAGTCTCGATTTCCTTATCCGTCAAGTGGGAATAAGAACAGCATCTACACCTGGGAGGATTGTGAGATCATGCATGTAATTAGCATAGAGGCAGGGTTCAATAAACTCATCCAACTAACCAACTAGTCAGTATTAACTGAACAGCAACTATGTCCCAGCCCTGATCTATGCATATCAGGTAAGCAAAACATACAAGGCTCAGCTTCACAGACCTCACATCCCACCGGGGCGTCTAAACGCTAGCTGTTGTTACCCAAAGCTGGGCATGAATTTTGGAGTCAGGGAAGCTGAGAGCACAGTGCTTCAAAAGCAGCCATTATCAGCTAAGCTGCCATCTGACTTGAAACCAATCTGCCACCCTCGGCGCGGCTAGAGGTCTGAGCCCGAGCTGTCTACTGGGAGTTCAGGGTGAGACTGTCATCCAGACTGAATCTTTTGTCTTTTAATAGGGGAAGTAAAACCACTCCCATTTATTGTGGTAACTCATGTGGAATTATTCCTGCTATATAATTTCATGTTTGTTTTTTCTTTTATCACGCTTTCTTATCCTCCCCCCACCCCTTGCTTATGCCTTATCTTTTAATGGCCTGGAAGCTTTTCACTCTATTTTAATTCTTCCATAAAGTATTCTTACATTTTCAACACGAGCTTAAACTTATATTTTCTAACACCATCTACAGTGAACAAATATATATGCCTTTGTCTTCCCAAGGTGATGGCATGGACAGCTTCAGATCCCTGACCCAAACCTTCCCCAGCACAAACTCAGGCTGCAGGACCCACTAGATCCCAGTGCGTAAGTGACGATTCTATGGGAACCAATCAGCGTCCTGGTCTAACGGACGGGCTAAGGGAAGCATCTCAGTGGCTCCTACGGCCTCTGCCAAACCACAGAAGGGCTGTGCCCTTGCGAGCACTCTCCCTTACCTTCAGTCTCTGGACAATGTCCCTTACGTCCTCTGAGCCCCCCGTGGCCCGCAGGAAGATGTGGTCCCCTCGCCCGTAGAAGAGTTTGAGCGTTGAGGAATCTGGGGTCCAGCCGATGACATCTCCACAGTAGCAGTTGAATACCACCCCCTTGGTGCGGAGGTCCAGGAGCACCACAAACTCGTTGGAAATCCCCAAAATGCAGTCGATCTCCACGCCCTGGCCGTAGTCCTGCGCTGCCACCCTCCAGGCGATGGCCCCCGCACTGTGCTGCTCCGCGCCCGCCCGGGCTTTTGTCTTCTCCTTCTTCTTGGAGGTCAGCGAGATGAGGTTGAATTTGCCCGTGGAGTCAATCGGTGTGTTGGAGACACAGTTTTCGGCCAGGTCCTTCAGGTACTCCTGGCGGGTCCTGGTGGCCATGGTGTGGAACTTGTCGGACTTGTGCGCGGCATTCTCCGCATTTATCACCTTGGCCAGCAAGAAGTCTCTGAAGACATCAGATTTGCGGAATGTGGTTCCACTGGGGACAGGGGGTCCGAAAGGAGGGGCGTCTTTGGATCGGGTCACAGCCATGCTGAGGAGGGAGAAATCGGTTAGATGGCGGAAGGAAGGGCCCTTGAGAGTCTCTTTAAGCAGAAAATATACGATCGGGAATGCGGGGGTCCTTTTTAAGAACAGGAGTGTTGCTGGCTAACTTGACTGGATATTTGAGAAAATTTCAGGGCACATACGTGCATTTTTACTTCCTATATAGTGGGTATTACAATGTCCTTTGATATTCAAATAATTCTCCTAGCATCATTCAACGTCAGTTATTCTCATTTTCTATATATTTGCAGATTCAACTAACTGTGGATTGGAAATGTTTAGAAAGAAGTTACATTGTTGCTGACATGTAGTGTGAAGTTAGGTGTAAGATGATTGCATCTGTACTGAACTTTTTTTTCCTGATCATTATTCTCTGAACAACACAATTCAGCAACTATTTACACAGCATTGATGTTGTATTCAGTGTTACCAGTAATCTAGAGATGATTTAAAGTACACCGGGTTTGCGTAGGTTATGTGCAAATACTATGCCATTTTATGTAAGGGACTTGAGCATCCTCAGATTGTGGTATCCGGGGTGGGGTGGAGGGGCATTCCTAGAATCAGTGCCCATCGGAGATGGAGGGACGACTGCATGGTCGATTATAGTTTGGCAAAAAGTCACTCCTCTCTCTCCTCCTTTGTGGGGAGGTCTGGCCCTACTGTATTGCCCCTGGGCCTGGGCACGTGACTTGATATGGCCAATGGTTTTCAAGCAAAGACATGCAAAGTGAGGGCTGGGGGCTGGGCTTGCCTCCTGTGCTCCTCCATGAGAAGAACATGCCCTGGGTGCTCTCCTGGTCCCTGAAGGGTGAGGGACACCTAGCGTAGACTGGGACCTCCCCAGTGGCCTGGAGCCAAGGCCAGCCAGACCTTGGCTGATCTGCAGAAATGTGAGCCAGAAGGAAATGCTAATGCTGTGAGCCAGTGAGTTTTGGGGTGCCTTGTTAAGCAGCATTACTGCAGAACCCCTGCCTGACAGGGGATGTGTATGGGATCTGTTTCTTTCAACTACGTGGGTAACACTGCTTAATACACTTTGTAAATCATCTCAACAAAGGTCACTTTAAAAATTCATTGTGACAGGAAATTAGCACGGGGCCCTTCCTACTTCAGTTTTGACCGAGATGCCACTATGACAGAAATCAGACAGCCGCTGAGTGAGAATGCGAAAAGGAAATGATCTAAAACCCGTTCCCCAAACTCCCGAACTCCTCATCCACCATGCCAACTACAGAGAGAGGGAGGAAGTCTTTGAAGAACTCTGGGTGGTGAGCCCCCTTTTCTCTGCCCTGCCCCCCCAGGTCGGGGCCTCCTAGGTGACCCTTACAGTCAGGAGGAGCCTGGGGTGTGCCTCCTGCCTGGGAGATCAGAATGGACAGGGAGCCCCTGAAGAGCCCAGAAAGCACGCAGCCGGCTGCAGTCGGCCCCCGTGATACTTCTCTGCCTCCTGCTCCAACCCTGGGCAGGCGAGGCACTGGGGCTGGCAGGGCGGGGAGGGGGTGGAACGGAGAGGCGGCTCCGTGTCCACCCAGGCTTCCAGCAGGAAGCGGCCCGGAGCTTCCGTGCGGGAGAAGATCTGCTGATAGGTCAAGTTTGGAAGTTTGATGAGTATCTCGGACGTGAAGTCCTAGTGATCAAGTTGGCCGCGGCACCTGCCAGAGTGGTCACCCAGGGCCAGGGGAAACAACTCCTACTGAAACACACTTAAGGGGCTACGGAGTCACTGTGAATTATGCTGTTTTACATAAGGACAATTAAAAAATGGTACAACTGTTGTGAATGAGTGAGCAATACGTTCTCTAAGTTTTTCTCAAAGAGTGTTGTGTTCAGCCTCTATAAAAACCTCAGCTCGTGAGTACGGTGTTAGGAGAGACTTCCTATTGTTTCTCTTTCTACTGTAAGAAAAATTTTTAAATAATGAGATTCTTGATTAAAACATATTCCATGAACCCCAAACACCATGTAAGGCTTGTTCAGGTTTTGACTCCTAAATCCTCTCTCCAACCTGACACAGTAGACAGTGAGACATTCATCTGCCAACCATTTCCGGGATGCCCTCTCCCTTGGGCACTGAGGATATGGTGGTCCCTGCCCTCCTGAGCTTTGAATCTAGGAGGAGAAACACACTAAACGCACACTCACGAGCTAACTTATAAAGACAAAAAAGGGCATGGAGTAAGGCAGAACAACGGGAGGACCTGATCTGAACAGGGGGAATCTGGAGGACCCCTCTGAAGGAGTGGTGATTAAGCTGCATCTGAGGCTGAGCAGGAGCCCGAGGAAGAGCTGAGGGGAGGGTGCTGCAGGCAGTGGGTGCAACACGTGCAAGGCCCACCTGGGGAAGAGCACAGGGGAGATGAGGCCGGGTGCTCAGACAGCAAAGGACAGGAGGCCTATGAGGTCACCAGGGGCCAGGCCACAGGGCCTCGAGAATGTGTCAGCATTTTCACCCTGGTCACGCGTGCTAACGACCACTGAACCATGAGGGTCGGCTAGTCGCTGTCTATGCCCCCAGGCCCAGCCCCTGCCTTTCTCTGCCCTCCGTGCCCCGGAAAGAGGACTTCTATGGACTGTGTCACCTTCACCTATGTTCCCGTGCCCCTGGCTTCCCGCTGAGGTCACCAACAGACGCAGGGAGGTGATGGGAAGGTGAGAGGAAAGAGGGCTGAGTATTTATTTCTCTTTGCTGCCCCCCTGCTGGGCTGGGACAGTGGCAGTGGCTGTAGTCCCTGGTCCTTTACTCACAGCCACAGCTCCTTTCAGGTGGCCCCTCTCCCAGAGCCATTGCTCTCCCTAGCTTCTAGAAACTTCTCCCATGCCCCTCTGACCTAATTGAGCTGAGGGGATGGGGTGATGGCTCCCGGTGGCTGCTGGCCCTGGATGCCTCACTTCCCTGCATCCATCAGTTCCCTTAACTCAGCCACACCTATAAGCAGTCATTCAGTTAAGACCTGAGGGGTCCCTGATGGATGCAGGCACTAGCAAAGAGTGACGACCAGACTGACAACCTGCAAGGATCGCTGTGGCTACCCTGCGAAGCAAAGCCTGAAAGGGACCGAATCCTTGCAGGAGACCATTGGGGGAGCTCCTGCGTGACCCCAGCGATCATGCCAGACCCCCTGCTCTCCACTTCCGCGTCCCAGGAGTGCCGTGAAGGTAGTTGCCACCCTGGCCTTAGCTGGTTCCCCAGCACGAGTGCTCAATACTGATTAAAGTAATTTAAAACAAAGACTTAATCTTGAACAGACCAAGAAGAGATTTCTACCGACATACAATGTCTGTAGGTTTGAAAGAAACAGGCATTTCCCAGTTCTGGAAATGTTCTTCAAAGGTCACACAGGCCTTGTTTTGTAGGAAACCTTGTTGGCGTGGCCTTGTCCCCAGGCAGGGCGATGGATGAGATGACCTCACCAGCCTCTCTGCTCTAATTAGTGGTGCACTCAGACTGTGCTTTACAGACACGAACAGCTTTGCAGCTTCTTCGTTCAGCACCTGGCTGCTTATAGTGACATATTTTGGCTTTTCCCACTGCCCTGATCCATGATTTTAAGAATCATAAAATTGTAAGCTTCTGAAGGTTTCTGGACGATCAGAACAGCTGGTCCCTCACTTCCCTAGCAGGAGGGACTGGGTTTTCACAGCCCACAGGCTACAAGGGTGCCAGGGTGCCACTCAGAAACAGCACACTTGAAAGAGGAAAAAAACAGCAACTCGTCACCCAACAAGGGGATGATGTGACCACCAGGTCGTCTGCGCACTGTAGCTGAATAAGTGTTTCTAGAGAACTCGCAATTTTTTAACAATCATTTTCTCTGTGTCCACGGCATCTGGGGCAGGTATCTGTCTAGCCAGCAAAAATGTTTCTGTATATGGCAAGCACCATGCCATGACAGATATATGAAGGTAAATATGACACGGCCTGCCCTTCGAGGGAGGCGAGAGCCACACTGGTAAGCCATTTTCAGTGTGATGAGTGCTCTGGCAGAGGGTGTTTGGGAACACGGCAGGGACAGGGTACGGTCCGCCCAGAGAGGAGGTGCCGGTGGGGCAGGAGGGTGAGCGTGCGGCAGGGGGCAGCTTTGGTTGTATCTCTAACACTTTCTCTTTGAAAAAATAAAGAAAAGAAAGAGAGCTGAAGCAAATATGGCTAAATGTTAACATCTGTTAAATCTGGTGGTAGGCACACGGGTGTCTGTTGTATTATTTTCTGTACTTTTCAGAATGTTTAAAATACTGCATAATAAAAATATTTCAAATTAGACTGTAAAAAACAAGAAGGGTCTGTACATCAGAGAAAAGAAATCCTGAGACCACGCAAAGCCTGGTCTGGAAAGGCAGGAGGTCGGCCGCAGGCGCCCTTGGCGACTCAGGTCGGAGAGGGGAGCTCGGGGTGAGGAAGGGGAGAAGGGCCCACCGACCCAGCTCAGCCCGCTTCCGCCGTGCCGAGAGAGATGCCTCCTCCTCCTCCACACACACGAACGACTCTGCCTTCGCTTGCCGGGGCGACCTTTCAGCTGCCAAGGAACACGGGACTAAGTGACCTCAAGCCACACAGGCCTAGGCACCGGCAGCTGTTGCCGACTATCCTAAGAATAAGCGGGTGAGGGTGGGAGGGACGGTGAGGGGGCCCCGCCCCCTGTCTCGGGCAGCACGTCCAGCACGGTGCTCCGCGGCAGCAAGCACCCCACGTTGGAATCCGCTCCCTGCTCTCACGCACCTGGCTAAGAGAAGAAACTGGCAGATTCCGGCAATTCCGCTAAGGCTACCAGTGCACTTAAGCACAGATCCTCTTAACTTAATACCTGTTTTTAGGAATTTATCTATCCCGGCTGTTCCTGGACACGGGTGCAATTCGAGTATAACCAGGTTATTCACTGCAGGGTGAACTGTAATTGAAGGGGACAGCAAACAACCCAACTGTTCACTGACAGGGGACGGGGGAAGATTCTAGGTATCCACGTGATGGAATATGACACAGTCAGAAGGAACGAGCAAGCATTTTAGGTACTGGTTTGGAAAGATCTCAAGGGCTGTTGAGTGAAAAAATACAGGCTGCAGGACAGTGTGTGTGTGGTATGCTACCATCTGTACTGAAAAGGGAGAAAAGGAATACTTTTAAGTATCTGCATGCATGAGCACAAAATATCAGAATGCATGGGACACTGCTCCCAGTTGCCTCTAGAGGGCGGCTGGGCTGCCAGGGGGTCAGAGGTGGGACGAAAGGAAACTTGGGTCTTTTTTTCACTTTTGAATTTCAAACTGTTTTCGAAAGACAAAAAAAAACCCTCTCTGGCCCATTCCCCCGTCTGCAGTGCCGCTCCAGGGTCAAGTGCTATTGATCGGCTGATTTTCAAGGACCACGGTTCTATCCTCGCCCCACACACAGAGAGCTTCCCATGTGGCCTTTGGGTACCAGGTGACAATGGTGCCTGGGGAGGCTACTGAATGAGTTTGAAGCCTGTGTTGCTTGTTGATCTGTGAACTAAAACCCTCAGCAATACTTCCTGCGGAGTGGGGTTGGGGGCTGCCTGTCCCGCCTCCATCCTCCCATCTTCCGATTTCCCTTTGGGCCACCGCTCCTGTGATTCTCAGTCCATATACCCACTGCCCAGCTGTGGCTGGTGGTTTTGCTCTGGGATAGGCACCTGACCCCCAGCCAGGGCAGCAAGTCTCACTTCTGGGGCTCTTTTTCTGGGAAAAGCAAGCTCTCCTTCTGCTGGATTTGCAGCTGGGAGGATGTTACGATCAGAGGCCAGCAAATAAAGCAACACACAAGAAAGTGAGGCAGATCCAGCCAGGCCTGAACGTGTCGTTTGTGACAGCCAGCATGTGCAATTTGCCTTTTTGTCTTAAGCCAGATTGAGGCGGATTTTCCGTCACTTGTAACTGAAAGATTCCTGGAAAATACAAATCCCTGATGGCTTCCTTGTCAAAACTGGGGCACGGTGCCCCTTTCCGGTTGAGAATCACTCTCTTAGAAGGTGTGGGATGTGAGGACAGAGCTCCCCTACTGAAGCACAAGCGAGAAGCACAGGAGGCCGCCCACCTGGGCCAGCTGTCCGCTTCTGTCTGAATCCACATGCTGCCTGCATGCCGCAAACAGCTTTTGGGATTTCCTGTGTGTGCGCAGGGGGCGGGGTGGGGTGGTCCCCCGTGTGGCTTCCTGGAGCCACGTGTGGAGGTGCGTACCTGTAGCAGACATTATCGGTGCAGGGGTTGTGAGCTCGGACAATGATGAAGACGTGCTGAAAGTGTGAGCGAATGTTCTTGGGGGTGAAAGGCAGCGCCCCCGGCTCCTGGAAGATGATCGTCACGATGTCATTTCCGATGTGCCTCTTCCTTAGCAGCTGGGACATGGGAAACAGAGCAGGAGAGCGTTATAGGTCAGCCTGGCTCACGGGTCCTGCCTGGACCATCACAGCAGTCTCTTCACTGTCTCCCTGTTCCCACGGGCTGGCCCCCAGCTGCAGCCAGAGGGAGCCATGGACACCTGAGTGAGATTACCTCCCTCCCTGCTCAGAGTCCTGTGGCTCCGTCTCGCTCAGGGTAAAGGACGAAGTCCCCACATGGCCCAGGGAAATCCACACGACCGGCCCTGTCACCTCTCTGACATCTCCGCCTACGAGTCCTCTTGCTCACACTGCTCCAGCCGCACTGCCCTCCTGCCGTTCCTCAAACTCGCCGGGAACACTTCCTCCCCGGGGCCTCCGCACTGGCTGTTCCCTCTGCCTGGAACGGTCTTCCTGCAGATCCCCTCACAGCTCCCTCCCGCCCTCCTTCAGGTCTTGACTGAAATGTCACCCTCCCATGGAGGCCTTTGCTGACTATATTATCCAAGATCTCACCCCTCAAACCTCCCACCTCTGCTCTTCTGCCCCCATGACGTACGTATCGACACTCAGCACATGGCAGCTTTCCCCTCTTCCTTTCGTTTCTCGTGCCTCTTCTCACTAATGTGTCAGCTCCAGGAGAACAGAATTTTGTGTTCTGCTTGCTGGTCACTGCTATATTGTCAGTGTGGAGAGTGGTGACTGGGACAGAGCAGGCGCTCAACGAACATCTACAGGGGGCAGCTCGAGCTGACGGCCTTCGGCTCACTCAAAGCCACGCTCACGGCTGGCTGGAGCAGAGGCGCACTGGGGACAGCCACGGGGCCAATCCCGGGCCACCACCCCTTCCCCGGGCCACCAGAGTCGAGCAGACGGGGGCAGGAGGCTTCATATTGGCCTCCGGGTGCCCTGTCCTCTCTCCCCTGCTTGTCATAGTCTGGTATCTTCACGGGCAATGATGTAGTCATGGCATTTTACTTATTTGCTGAAATTACACTGTTCTTATTTACACACTCTCTGGCCCTCACGTAACTCTCAGGAATCCAGACGGGAGCCACGTGCAGTCAGTTCCACGCGAGGTGGCCCACAGAGAACCAGACACGCTTGGCGGCACAGCTCACACTATTCTGTTACATTATTAGTTCTTCAGTGTGTTTTAAATGCAATTAAATGAAATTGCTAGATAAAAATGGCCACTGACTGTGGCCGGTACTTCACACGCACATCTTAAAGTCACGATTTCGTTGAATCTTCACGACAACCCTATGAACCATTAACTCGTCCCACACCCTTTCACTCATGAAAAAAACACAGGCTCACAGCGGTCAAATGACTTGTCCTGGGTCATGGAATCACGGAGGGAAAGACCCAGAATTTGAACCCGTTTCTGCCTGATTCTACAACCCAAGCTTTCCCCCAGCACACCTCCCAAACACCCAGGAACAGCTCTGACTTCCGCGGCCCTCCAGTCGGACCCTGCCTCGTGCTCTGATTTCATGCAGGAGTGCAAGGACCTTTCCCAGTGACCCTGGGATCTGATTTCATGCAGGAGTGCAAGGACCTTTCCCAGTGACCCTGGGATCTGATTTCATGCAGGAGTGCAAGGACCTTTACCGGTGACCCTGGGAAAGGTCACTGGGCGCTATCATTCCACTTATTTCACAGAGCAGAGACCCAAGGCTCGGAGAGGCTCTGGGACATGGGTGCTATCATTCCACCTATTTCACAGAGCAGAGACCCAAGGCTCGGAGAGGCCAGTTTGCACAGCTAGGAAGAAGCAACATAAAAACTCAGACTCAGGTCCCACTCTGAGGCCAACGCTCTTTCCGCGTGCCAATGGTTAAACTTATGAATTCAGTGATACTTGACCCTTTTTGGCCTATAAAATCTACGATATCACCTGTACCAATAGAAAAAATATACACTTCCTAAACCCCGAGGAGTCTGTGGGGTTTCTCGGACCACGTCTGCATGGCATGTCCGGGAGGGGCCTCCTGGCAGTGGGCGTTAGCTGTTGTTGCCACCCAGCGCCTCTTCCTTCCTCGGGCAGCCATATCCATCCCCTCTGGGAATGCACTTCCGTGACCCCACCCACTCTGTCTAGGGGTGGGCAGGTGCTTCAGGCTTGGCCAATTGGCCCATTCCATCCTCACCCCACGCCCAGGGACTGGCAAGTGAATGGCCCAATGAGATTCAGCCCTGAAACGTTTCTGGAAGAGCTGGGAGACACAGCGCTCTTTCCCCTGGGGTGACTGCACTGGGAGAGTGTGACATGAGGGCGGCTAGGGGGCACCTTTGCCACTACTTGGGAAGACCTATTAATGAGGTCACTATGAAGAAAAGAAGAGGTGAGAAATAGTTTTCCTAACACTGTCTGAGGCCCTGGATCCAGCCACACCTAAAGCCAGCCCTCTCCCAGCACCTGAAAGTTATACAGCCCAGTAAATCTCACTTTTTGCTTATGCCAGTTTGATTTGCGTTTCTGTCATTTGCAGTTGAAGTAATGTTGATAGATTCATTCTTTTCTTTTTTTTATAGGTTCCCTGATGACTCAAGAGATCCCTGAGGAGAGCCGGGGTAGTCAGAGGCAAGCAGGGTGGCCAAGGAACAACTAAGAAAAAATCGACATCAAATGACACCTGACCCAGAGAACGTGACTGTGGTGTAGAGGGTCCCCAAAGCCAATGGCCTCCATCTGCTGCACAGGACAGCACCAGGACAGCCAATGCCGGGCAGGCAGCCAGCTAACAGTTGTGGGGAGGGCAGGTGCCTGGGGTTCAGCTGTGTGTCTGATGGAAATCATGTGCCCCCCGCCCTGGCCCCTACTGACCTGCTGCCTGTTGTTGGGGGTGTAAGGGAGCAGGGTGGAGACGTGGAACATGATCTCATAGTCCTGTAGAGGGAATGGGTTCCTGTGGAGTCCGCTGAAAAGAAACAACAGTTAGCACCACGTTTCCAAAACCTCTGTGCTTCTGCCATATCCCACATACCATCTGTGTCAGTTTTTAACTTGATGTTTTCACTGAACTCCACTCTTGAAAATTAAATACATTTAGATAAAAAGGAAACCTTACATTACACACCCACCAGACTGGAAACAATTTAAAATTCTGACAGTACCAAGGGCTGGTGAGGACGTGGAGCAACTGGAACTCTTTATGTGGCTGGTTAGGTGTGTAAATTGGTACAACCACTTGAGAAAAATTTTTCAGCAGTATCCACTGAAGCTGAGGCTAGGTTTAATGGGTGACCCTGCACCTCCTCTCTTAGGATCACAGTCTAAACGATCGCACACCCATGTCCTGGAATATGGGTACGAGTGTCTTCAACTGTTGGTCAAAAGAACAAATAAACTAACAGGTATATTCGTACTGTGGACAAATACACACGTACGACAAGGAATGAGTCACAACCACCACATGAGTGAATCCCTGAATATAATGTTGAATGAAAGGCACCAGACACAAAGGAGCAGATACTGTACGGCTACATTCATATTACATTCAAAAGCAGGCAAAACAAATTATATTCCATAGACGTGCACACACAGGTAGCAAAACCACAAAGAAAAGCAGAGAATGATAATCGATGGTCAGGATACTGGTTATCTCTAATGACTCCATGTCTCAGAGGGGGAAACTGAAGCACAGAGAGGGAGCGATGTGCCTAAAGTCACACTTGCAATGAGTGGCAGCAACCGATGACTATCTGAGAGCTAATTCTCTCTACGGCACTGTGCTGGGCATCTGATCCTCACGGCAAGCCAGCGAGGAGGCAAGCTCACGGCCATCACTTAGTGGCAGATGCTGAGCCTTGGGAGCAGGCATCTGTCTGAGAAGGGGGACAGCAAGTCTATCTCTTCTGAGTGTACAGCCCCTCTGGTGGCTCACCAACAAAACCACACCACTACCGCTCATGCCTGCTGCCGGCTTCCTGTTGCCAGGCAGCAGTGAGAGGCCTGTGCCCGTCGGCACACTGCGGGCGGAGCACCGGGAGGCTGGACAGGTCCAGTGCCTGGTGCAGAGTGAGGGCCCGGTATGCTAGGTTCAACTCCAGAGGTAAGCGCAATTATTACCGTAATTTTACAGATAAGGGAACTGAGGCAGAGAAGCAAAACTATTTGTCCAAGACCCCAAAACTAGCAGCTGGCGCAATAAGATGCTATTCCTCCTACCACCTCCTTCACCGGAGGAGCTGAGGGCGAGGATGACGACAGCTGCCCGCGCCTGCTCAACTCCTGATTCACCCCTAAGTTTGGTCTCCTCATCTGGACTTTCGTTTTCCAGATGAGGAAACTGAGGCTTGGCGAGGCAAGGCAAGAGTGAGCGAGCAAGTCAGGGCCCCATCTCGGGCTTTCCGACTCAGCCTGAAAACTGACCCGACGACGGCCCGCCCCCAAGGCCAATGGGCAGTGCCTTCCCCAGGGAGCCATGACACCAGTTCACAACGTCACCTATCTCTATCTCGCAATCTACTTATCATGAAACATTTCGATCTCATACATCATTCAAAATCTAGGTACGTACGTGCACATATATGCACAGGGAACGCTCTAACGTATGTTGTGCACGTCACCTGCCTTTGGCAATAGCCCACTGCCGATGCTCTGCAGGAACCACTTTCCAGTGACACCCGTCCTCTCTCTGGAGAGGCAGCCACACCCCTGCACATCGTGTCGGCCACTGCCTCGGTTTCTTTAGTTTTATGATAAGAACAAACCTCCAAACAATACACTGTTGTGTGCTTGCAGAAGGCGTCATTCAGACCTGTTCTGAGACCCGCTGGCCGTGTACAACACAAAGTGTGTGGCTCTCATCTAGGCTGATGCCTGTGGCCCCCGTTTGTCATCGTCACTGTCATACAATGACAGTGACATATGTCCCAGTACGTGATCTTGACCAAGTGACCTCCTACTGCTGAGCCTCAGCATGCCCTTCTGTGAGACAGGTCCAGTGACAGCACCGTAACCCTGCACAGATATGCCACAAGCCCACCCCCGCACGCTGGACGCCACCGGTGCCTGCAGCTGTGAGCATGCAGGACACTGCCCGGCGTGCACATGCACGCGTGCTCGGAGGACATGTGCAGCAGTGCCGTTGCTGGGACACAGAGTCGGTGACTCTTCAGACTTAAACGAAACCTGCCCAAGTGGCTGCGCTCACAGCACTCCCACCGGCGGGGTCCCAGAGCTCGCGCGGCCCCAGTCCTCTCCCTGGCATCTCCAGGCCTTTCGACTTTGCCACTGGGTGGGCGTATGGGGGTGGCTGATCTAACCGGCTCCCCCACCAGGCCGCGGCTGCCACTTACTCTTGACGTCCAGCTGGGCGGCGTACTTGGTGAAGCCCTTCAGGCAGACCTTCTCCCCGATCAGGGAGAGGAACTCGTCGAAGGCGGGGCCGGCCTCCTCGTTGTTGTACATCTCCTCCTCCGAGCTCTGGCCAGCCTTGCAGTAGAGGATCCCCACTTTGTGTTTCCGGCAGAGCTGCAGAAGCGAGAGCGGCTTAATGGAGGCAGGCCAGGCACAGATGTCAGAGGGAACAGAACAAACAGGGCTTTCTCAGGCGCTGAGCCCGGGGAGCTGCTGGGGTCACAGGAGAATTCAGCACCAGAGCCAGAGAGGAAGGAAAAAGGCTTGGGGGCATGTCCCAGTTGTCCCTCTACCTCCCTCCCATTCCAGAGGGGCATGACAAGGTGCCCATGCTGCCTATTCTCATCGTCTTGGCAGAGAGCGATGCTGCTCTCGCGAGTGAAAGAGACTGTTTGCCTCGGCCTGCTTCCCAGAGTCGGTGAACTGAAAGTGGCTAAGGCTCTGCAAAGGGAAATTCTGAAGGGCTCAGGGCTCAGTAGAATTGACACTGTTTTTAGGGGGTGGGTCCCCAGTAACTATGTTTGTTAGATGTAGCCCTGATTCCCTCTGGTCACTGGAAGGGCTCAGGGCTCAGTAGAATTGACACTGTTTTTAGGGGGTGGGTCCCCAGTAACTATGTTTGTTAGATGTAGCCCTGATTCCTCTGGTCACTGGTGACTGGACTAGGGAAAGCCACCTGAGACCTAAGTGGGGCAGTCGGAGGTTCTCTTGGGAATGCGAGTCAGCCAGTGGGGCTCGGTCTGTGGCTATAATTCTAGTAGCAACTCTGTAGCCGACGGAGGCCAGTGTGCAGAGAGGGGAGGAGACAAGACTGTGCACGTATGTACATACGCACACACGCACACACACAGACACACACAGACACACACACACACGAACCTGGTGGTCATCTTATCCCTAGACTATTTCTTTCCTGAGACCCGGTCACATTCTGGCCCTTGGCACCCCTGGAATTAGGTAACAGATCATTCCTTTTACTTAATAAAAAGAAAGTGACAAACACAGAAAGAGGTCCCAGGAGCGGAGCCACTGTGCCCCGGTGGCTCTGGCCCCAGTCTCAGCTCACCCCTTGCTCGTCGAGCTTCAGTAGCTGCTCCGTCACCTTGGGAGTGCTGAGAGCCAGCCGAAGGCAGTGGATGTTGAGCTCAGGAATGACGTACTCCAGGGCGTCCTTCAGGGGCAGGCCCCGCCCTGTCCCGTGCTTCGTGGCTGTGGGCGTGGCATCCTCCAGGATGGAGCCCCGCAAGGTGATGAGCTGTTCCAGGGAGACAAGAGACGGTCAGAAGGCTTTTGGGACCCGAGAAAGGATTAGAGCATGAAGGTGTCCTGCTCTCAAAGTGACATGCATGACAGTCAGCAGCTTGGGATCTAGGGCCAGAAAGCCCTGAGTCTGGACCAGGACTTGAACTTGCTGCCTCTTAGCTGTATGATGTTGACCAAGCGACTTCCTATCTCTGAGCCTCGACATCCTCTTTTGTGAGACAGGTACAGTGATAGTATCGTAACCCTGAAGGGGCACTGGGAGGACCAAACGAGACAGTGCAAGGAACATACATTCATTTGTTTTAATAGACATTGACTCAGTGCCGGGAACAAAACAAAGACCCCTGCCTTGTGGAGCTGACCTTCCTGGGGGAGATGGATTATGTCAGGGAGTAAGAAGTATAACGAATAAAACAGGCTGCACGAGGTGGGCACTTGAATAAACACTCGTTATTATAGCATTATTAAATGTAAACACATTATCATAAGCTCTGGGTAAAACACCTGCCTGCCCTGGGTACCAGTACCATCCTGGATCTTGAACCGTGGCACTTGCTTTCGACCCAGTTTCCTGACAAAACCACGACAAGCGGCTGTGACTCAGCTGGTCGGTGGTAGGGCCCAGGTATATCTGTACGTATACATTTAGGTATACGTAGACTTATGTGTGTGTGTACTTATACCCACACACGCACACACTCTTCTAATACCACTCTGGTGACTCTGATGTGTAACCGGGCTGAAGACCTTTAGTCAAGCCAATCGCAGCCATCCTGCTCCCCTGGCCTACATGCTGCTGCCCAAGTTTTCCCATAGCTGGCCACATGACTGGTTTCCGGCAATGAGCCGTGAGGGGAATTCAGCTTGGGGAGAACTTGTGGGGTAGAGTCCTCCCTGATAAAAGGACAGCCCCTTTCCACTTGTCCATTTCTTCTTGCGAAGGACATTGGTGTGATGATGTTTGGAGCTGTGGCAGCCATCTTGTGATCATGAGGAAAGACACACAAAAAACTCAGAGAGATATCAATCCCGGCAGTGGCCTGACTCCGGACTTCTTGTTAGATAATTAAATTAAAATAACTCCTTATTGTTTTAGCAATGGCTTCTCAGGTTTCCTGTTACTTTGCAGACAAAGCAATTTCTAACTGATATATCTTAATAACAAGTCACATTTACAAAAGTTTAGTTCACTGTACCGCATTTCAGGTATGACAGCAGTTACCTAATTATATGTATAGATCCGTTCAGGGGAGATTTTATTATCCCCATTTTGCAGATGAGAAAACAGAAGCTCCAAGACGTTAGGAGCCTTATCTAACGTCACCACAGCTAAGTGGCTGAATCAGGATTCCAACCTAGGCCTGACTTCTCCAAAGCTCATTATTTTCTTTCTTTGATTATTTTTTTTGACTGTGAAGTATAATCTACACACGGAAGAGTACACAACACATAGAAGTAGAGCTAAAGGAATTATGACAGTGAACACCTACGTAATCACCACTTAGATCCAGAAATACAACAGTCCCATCCCCTAGAAGCCTTTCTGTGCCCCTTCTTCCTCCCCTGATTTCTAACCCCATTAACTTATTTCTGCCTGTTTGTGAGCTTCATGCAGTTTAGATTCTTTTCCATCTGGCTTCTTTCTCTGAACGCTATGGATGTGAGATTCGATCATGTTGCTGCTAGAGGCTGACATTTCCACCATGATGGATTTAACCCGCTCTACCACTGACGGGAACGGCCCCTGTGTTTGATGGCTATGAACAGTGTGTTGGGGACATTCACAGAAGCACCTCTTTGTGCACAAGAACACATTTTCTTTTTGGGTTTATACCTGAAAGAGAAATTGCTCCGTCACCAGGCATGTTAACCTTTAATTTTACGGCACGGCCAGTCTTCCGAGTGTACCAATTTGCACCCGCCAACCCTGTCTGAGAGCCCCCGTCGCTTTGCGTCCTCACTGACACTGCTCAGGCTTGATGTGCTGCTGGCCACAGGTGCTGCCATGCCTGGGGCTGCCACAGCTGCTCCAACACCACACGAAGAGGGCGCGCCGAGGGTCTGCAGCAGCACAAGGGAAAACTCCCCGCTGAGGAACTGTCACAAGCACCAAGGGGCTCTGGTTTAACGACTGAGGGTAAGTGCGCACTGGGAAAACACGCTCCCCTAAGCCAGTGGGCACACACAGGATTGGGCACAGGCAAAATTAACATGTCATGACTCCGCCTCTAAGCACATGGCCCTTGCCAAACAGGACCAGGGCAAGAGGCGTGCGTGGAAGGAACAGAATGATCTCATGCTTGGGAATTCCCAGTTCTAGCCTTGGTAGTTAATAAACAAGCACAAATCTCTCTTATCATAGGCAGGGCAGTGTTGAAATAGGTCATGAAAAGCAATACTTTATGCGTTGCCCTGCCAATCTGTGTGGCCCTGGGGCTGTAGGTTTCAATCAATGCATCAACGGAATCAGCGTCTTTGTGTCCTGTTGACACTGCCCTGCAGCGCCCTCTGCTGGGGCCAAGGGACAGTGTGGGCCAGAAATCTTCGTTCATCCTCCACAATGGAGACAGGTGGCCTATGGTCACGTTTTGGCTCTGATGACTAGACGAAAAGCCGTTACTTGAAAAGCTCCCAGGTTTCCTTCTCTGTGGGGCAGAATAAGTAGGGCACTGGCAGTCTGCAGCGAGTGGCCACCTCTCCTCCCCACCTGGTTCTGCCCACTGTCATATAATAGTCCACCTGGACCGTGACAGCAGCATCTCCGTGCTCCCGCCCCTGCTGTCACTCCACCCCAGCCTTCTTCCTGAAGCAGCTTGAGTCAGATCATGTCTCTGTTCTGTACAGAACCTGCTAATGACTTCCCATCTCTCACCGAAAACTTTACACTCACGCATCTCGCTGGAGTAACCAATCAAGTGAGCCGTGAAAGGGCCTCAGGGCCACGTAAGCAAGGACGTTCCTATTTGCACAGGTGGTTCTCCTGCCCAGATGCGTCCCCGCCTTACTCCGTGCTGGGTGGTGGGTGCACCATGTAAGAACTTTTCCTGGAAGGTCACTTTTTGAGTCAGACTGACCGAGTTTGAATCCTGGCTCTGCCCCTTCTCTAGCTGTGTGACCCTGGGCAAGGCACTTCATTTCTCTGGGCCTGTTTCTCATCTATAAAATGGGGAATATAGTGCCTGCCTCAAAGGGTTATCAGAATTTAATAACATGATCCACGTACAGTGCTTAGCATTATAGCTGGCATACGGTAAACGCTCAATGTGTTAGCCATTATTATGTGTACGCATGTCAAATGTATTTGTACAAAGCCACGGACGCAGTCAAGAATTAAAAAAAGTTTAACCTTGAAAAGGAAGCTACAGGTTGCTTCCCTCCTAACTTAACAGTATGCTTATACAGATTATACAGATACATGCACAATCAGAGGTACCTACTGAACACAAATGAGGTCTCAACTGATGCATCATTATGCTTGCTTTCTTCACTTTAATATGAGACTCTCCCTTTTGTACGCTGCCTACTTATGTACTCTTTAAATTCTTAGCAATGAGCGACTGTTAACTTTTTGAATAAAGAAGAAAATGAAAATCCAAACCTCTAACCCTAACAAAACTAACATCTGTCAAAAACTCATGTTTGAGAGACTAAATGGAACCCACAGGGCCTGGTGGGCCAGAAAGGGCAGCCCTGGCCTGAGGTCATCCTGTCCAGGCTCAGGGGTGGGGACCGGGGCCCAACATTTATACGCGTGCAGCCAAAGCCCAGCTCCGAGTCTGTCCCCACCCCGGCAGGGAGCTTGGTGCTGGCAATGCTCACATCCCATCTGCCAGGAGATGTGGGCCCACTCGACTGTCTGCTTGGCGGCCGGGGGTGGCCATCTGGGGTGGGCCAGCCAGCTGGCTTGGAAAACAGCCTGGGGCCCCTCACTCTGGCCCCCACACCTCGGTTTGTAAGAGCCTGATGTGTGTGTGGACAGAAGGACAGAACTCTGTCAGCTCCACCCTTGCTCCCCAGCGAGGCCCTCTGACCTCAGGGGAGAGGGTGATCACAGCGCCGCTCAGAGCACTCGCTGCCCTGCAGCCTTGCGCTGCCACACGCGTCAGTCCAAGAGAACCTTCCCGCCACCTCAGGAGACGGGGAACAGCACACAGACTGTTCATAGGTGAAGATACTAAGGAACCAGAAGTAAAACCATCTGCCCAAGGTCACAGGGCTAGTGAGCGGCAGAGCCAGAATTCAAACCTGACCCGACAGCCAATGCCTGTTTATAGGTGAAGATACTAAGGGACCGGAAGTAAAACCATCTGCCCAAGGACACAGGGCTAGTGAGCGGCAGAGCCAGATTGAACCAAGGACTGTCTGTTCCCAGAGCCAGAATTCAAACCTGACCCGACAGCCAATGTGGCAAGTGGCAAAGAGCATGGGCAGGAGCCAGGCAGCCTGGGTCCGCGTCTCAGCTCTGCCACGGGGGCACCCCAATAAGTGATTCTCTCCCTGGGCCTCAACCCCCTCGTCTGTAGAATGAGGATAATAATGGAAACCCCATCATGGGACTCTTGAGAGGATGTGAAGGCCAATGCATATAAAACACCTAGGACAGAGCCTGGCAGGAATGTGTGCTAAAAGCGTTAGCTATCACTGCTGTTACTACTGTTGTTACTTTTGGGCTACGCTACGCAGCCCTCTGCTCTACCTCTGCCACAGAGGGGCCTTATGAAGGGGCAGGCAGACCTTGTTGGTCACTGTCCTTACCTCCAACTCCAGATGACAAGGGCCTCAGACCTGGCCCCGCGCTAAGTCTGGGTATGGCCTGTGCATGCGTGAGGGCACAGAAAGGGCTGCTTGTGGTGTGAACCTCATGGTGGGCTCAAGTTCACAGGGCTGACTGCAGTGTGACGAGGGCACAGCAGACTGAGCTAACTTCACTGGGCTCTCTCCAGGGCCAGGCCCAGCACTGCCTACTTTACACATGCGACCTCACAAGCCCACACCACAGTTTGGGGAAACCAAGGCTCTGAGAGAAGCAACCACATACGCAAGGTTTCGCAGCTGCTGAATGGCCAAACCAGGACCCATATCAGGTCTCCAATATGCCTGGCACAGTCCTACTTCAGGACCTTTGCACTGGCGAATGGCTGTTCCCTCTGTCTGCAACGCTCTCCTTCCAGATGTCCACATGGCTCCTCCCTCACCTCCTTCAGGTCTTTACCTTCCCAGTGACACCTCCCTTGACCATTCTGTCTAAAAATCTCACCACCCCTCACACTTAACATCTCTCTTCCTGGCTTGACTTTCCACCCTGTCACCATGAACCACACCCCATAATTCGCTAAGGCATTTGAGTATTGTCTGCCTCCCCCACAGGAACGCAGTACACATGCACTTCTGCTGCTTTATCCACTACTTACTGTCCCTTCGGCACACAGCACAGGGCTGTCACGGGTGGTGCTGAGCGAGTCTCTTGCGTGGTGCATGAATCCCCGACCTGTGCCACTGAGCCTTGGGCCCAGCCTGGGGCAGAGTGGAGGCTAGTTTTGTGGGTGTTGGGGTATAAAGTGGACAGAAGCAGGCATAAGCCAGAAATGGCACTAAGACAGTTTCAAATTTATTAAAAAGGAACCCCAGCAAAATATGATACTCTGACCCAGCATCTCTGCACCAAAGTCTCATGACTCTCGGAATGTGCAATGCAGTCTGGCATTTTAAAAATTCATTCTACATATTCTATTTTCATTAAAACACAACAGTAACAACATAAAAACACTGGCACTCTTCCGTTCACAACTCATGAATGGGTCTGACGTGGTCTGAACTGTCAGTGGAATCCCAGAGGCAGCCAAGCAGCGGCTGGGGTGCAGGCTGACACCTCACCCTGCCACTTACTGGAGGGTGCTTTGAGCAAGTCCCTTAACCTTTCTATGCCTGTTTTGTCATCTGTAAATAACAACAATGGTGCCTTCATCATAGAATTGTCATGACCTTTAAATGAGTATGTAGAGGGCATAGAAAATGCCCAACACAGTGTCATGCAGATTTCCAATACGATAACAATTGTAGTAATTATTATTTAAGTATTTGTCATCGTCATTTCACCCAGCAGTTCCCCAAACGTCACAGAACAGTCTGATGCAGTGTCAGCTGTCACTTTGCATTCTGTCCTGGTGCTCATGTGGCCAGAAAGGTGAGGAGGGGAGGAGGAGGCTGGGGAGGCAGCGGGGCCGCTGATCACCTGCAATCTGGGGCATGAGGTTTTGGGGCTGTCTCCTCTCAGCGGCCACAAAGCCTCTGCGTCATCACATCCCCCCTGAGTGGGAAGGTCCTCGCGAGGGGCGGGGCTTGGGCCCTCAGTGCAGCGTCTGCCAGTCTGGATGAGGCCGGGGCTCGCCGGGCCCCAAACCCAAAGTCTCTGGCAGCAGCCTGATGGGCTCTCACATCTGGGCCAATGCAGGATTGAAGGAGACCCATTTTGGGGGGCTTGCCCAGCTGATGATGGTCCCTTTTCTGTAAAGGTCTTTTGGAAGTCTCCATCGTTTTTGCTGGCCTGGCTCCCTTCTTTTTGCTGAGGAACTACCCCGCCGCCTCCTCCAGGTGGCTCTGATGGACCTGTCAGTCATGGTGCCCTGCCCTGCCCCAGGATCTTGGGTGGACCGTATATCCTAGATCTGGCCAGTTTCCTCTGCCACCCATGATTACAGTGACTGGCCCAGGGTGTGGACATGTAATCCAAGCAGAGCCAATCAGAGCCCTTCCCAGAGATTCAGCAGATAAGTGTCTTCCCTGTAGAGAAGAAGGTATAAAGATGTGGAAGTCTTGGGCAGCCAGTCTCCATTTTCCCATGACATGGAGAGAACTTGGTGGTGGCAGAAGATAATGGCATTCACAGCGTAGAAAGTAGAGCTGAGCAGATCAGAGATAAAGCAGTTCTCCAGTACCGTCACGGGAGTCCCCGGGTCCGCCATGCGGACGCCAGCCCCACCCCCGGATCTGCAGTTACCTGAATTCTTTCTGACTTAAGCCAGTTAGATGTAGATTTCTGTCACTTATAACTTAAGAGTCCTAATCAAGCAAGGTGCCCCCAACAGGCCTTGTTCCCTGGCAACAGGTGACCTGTTACCAAGAGGAAGACCTGTGACCGAGCGGGAACAATGGGATTCTCGACTCAGAACGGAGAGAAGTGCAGGGAGGCTCTGAATAGCGGCAGCAACAGCAGCGCCTTCGGCCCAGTTCCTGCCCCTCCGCTCTGCAGGGCACCTCATGGCTCTGAGGGAACCCCCTACCTCTCTCCCTTTATTTCTTACGCTAACCAGTTAATCTCTCGCAAATGGAAGAATCCTGCTCCTGGCCTGGCCGCTTCCTCACCGATCTCAGACATGTCCTTCAGGTTCCCTTCTGTAAACTGGGGGACAAACAGGACTGTGCTCGTGAGGTTGCTGGGAGGATGACACGGGATGCGGCAGGGGACGTGCTTCCCTCAGAACTTGGCGCAGAGCAAGGGCACACGTGAGCGGCGATTATCTACGTAACAACAGCGAGTGATGGGACCTACCTCACGGGTCCGGAAGATGATCCTGTATTGGTACTGAGGCCCATGGTCCTTGTGGTCCTCCAGCTTCTCCCGCTTGATGCTCACAGCCACCGGTCCCAGCTTCTCATCCACACCAAAGTAATTGGCATGCTCTGAGAGGGAAGAGCAGGTGAGTTCAGAGTCAGCTGTCAGGGAAGGAGAGGTGACGTCCCCCAGCAGGACTGCTGAGGGGACGGCCGGGGCAGGCTCTCAGGCCTGGTCACAGCCATACTCAGTGGAGACACTGTTAAGAGGTGAACGCCCACCTTACTACACCACATCTTCCAAGTCACGCAACGTTTCTGAGCCTCAGTGCTCTCATCTGAGAAATGGGGGGCTGATGAGAGAGTGAAATCAAGCTATACGTACAAAACGCTCAGCACAGTGCAGGACACACAATAAACCCAGCCTCGCTGTGGCTACCCCGTGTGTGCAAACGTTCATCAGCTTAGCTGCCAACCAGCCCTCGTGAAACGGTTAAGAGTCTAGCTAGAGAGCCTCCGGGCCAGCCGAAATCCGGCTCTGGCACTGTTGGACGGGGGGCCCAAGTCACTCGACAGCCTTCTTGTCAGTAAAACTGGAGCAGCAAGGGTGGACCCACCTCTTGACACGGTGGTGAGGATTAAGTAAGTTAATAAGTACGAACACTCGGCACAGAGACAGGCACACGGTGAGCATGTGAGAAGTGTCAGCCATTCCCGTCTCCGGGGCATGATGTTTGCCACAGAAAAGGGACCAAGATTCAAGTCCCTAAGCATCACCTCTCTGATCGCATTTCTACAGACCGAGGAAACTTTACGACTCTTTTCCCCCCGTGCTGGCAGTGCCTCTGATGAGTAATGGAGGAAGTCTCTTGCTCTCGCTCTGAAGTGACAGCTGTCGCCCCTTCTCTAAAACACGCTGCTCTTTTACAACCTGTCCAAACAGGTCTTTCTGATGTATAACCGTGTCTCCTGCTCACGCTGGGTGCCACCAGCAGTCTGACTGGACCCAGGCCCACGAAGTCAGCATCTCGCCATGGCCAGAAACTGCTTCCCACCCCAGAGCTCTGATGGTGAACTGACGGTTCCTACTCTCATGAGATGCTGCTCTTGGCCAATCAAAGGCTCATCTAAGGCCCAAATAACGTGTGTTAATTAATGATGCCAATCAGAACGGCACCTGCAGTGGGTTAAATAATCTCCCCAAGTGGTCAGAGAACAGAATAAACACTATACTCCACAAATACCCGTTCGCTCCTGAAGTGGTTGCATTGTTTTTTTTTTTTAAATCCACCAATGCATAACCAGTACCCTGCATACAGTAGGCACTCAATATACAATGACCACCAACAAATTAATTTATGAGCTTCCAGGAATACAAAGAAATTTTTTTGAAAAAAAAACAGCTTTTTAAAAGTTTCCTGATGAGTATTTACTACCTGCCTGATGAAAAACTACATTAATGTATAATCTCACTTAAGCTTTACCACAGTCCTTTCGAGTAGGTATTTCTATGTGTGAGTTGGAAAAAATGTGTTCTCTGTTCGCTAGGCACAAAATATGTATAAACGTAAAATCCAGTTTTGAGGGGTTATTCAAATCCACTACAGCCTGATTTTTTGGCTATTAGATCCGTCAATTTCAATGAGGCCCCTGTCAGCATCTCCCACTGACTGTGGATTTGTTCACTTTTCCTGTAGCCATGTCGGTTTTTAATTTATATTCCCCTAAACCAGGTTGCCAAGTACAAAGGTGAATTTTTAAAAATCAGCATGAAATGGCCTTTTCTGTTCTTCTGACAAGTGCTTTGAGCCTTGAAATCCATCTTGTGTGACACTGACGCGGCCTCATCTGCTTTCTCCTGGCTAGCAACTGCCTGGAACTTCTTTTTGCACTCTTTATTTTCAATTTCTGTGTCATTTTGTTTTGCGGCCTAAGATACATGAATCATGTCCATTCCTCACATGAGGACACAGAGTCCAAGGCGTGAATTGTGTCACGTAGCTAAGAAGCTATGGCACAGACGCCTCAAACACAGCGCTGTCTGGCTCCAAAGTTGGAGCTGCAGAGACTGCACTCAGCCCTGTGGGATGACCCCGCAGATATTTGTTATGTCTGACTAGGACACTGCTTTAAAAAAATTTAAACTAGTTGCTGTGGAGTACTAGCTACCTATCCATCATCTGTTCCATTTTAAGATAACCTTCTAATCTTGGGGGGAAAAAGAGAGGAGCTGTGTCTAGCTAAAAACCAGTATTTCCCAGTCTGCCTTGCAGACAGGAATGGCCAATAAGCAGAAGCAGTTGGACGGGGCTTCTAAGAATGCTCTTTAAAGGCGGTTGACTTGACAGGAGGGCTGCCTTTTTGCTCTTACCCTTTTCTCTTTTTCTTTTCCTGGAAACATGCATGAAATAGCTGGAGCTCCAGCAACCATCTTAGACCAGGAGACCACCCGAGGGCTGGAGGCCATGCACTAGGGCTGGCATCCCACTGATGCTGAGGAGTAACCCTAGCAGCCCTGGGCTGCTGACCTCTGGTCCTCTTCATGACAGAAATAACCTTCTATGTTGAATAAACCTGTTACTGGCTGTTATAAGCAATTCTGAACTGATACAGCTGCCAGCATTTAAATTTAGAAGAATCCACGTGAAAAAAACCCTGAATTTCAGGAGAATCTTGAAAAAAAATTAAACAGGCTGGCAACCCTGGGTTTGTCTGCATTTCCTGCATGACAACGGTGAGCTGGAGCTGAGCAGGA